TTCCTCATTTGCCCCCAGGCCAAGCTCAATGCATTCCAGTTGCTGCCTCACATATAGAGCAACTCCCCCACCTCTCCTTGTTGTTCTGTCTTTCCTAAAGAGTCTGTAGCCATCTATGACAGCATGCCAGTCATGCGAGTTGTCCCACCACGTTTCTGTGATGGCGACCAAGTCGTAGCCGTCCTGCTGTATAATGGCTTCCAGCTCCTCCTGTTTATTGGCCATACTACGTGCATTGGTGTAAACACACTTGAGCTGGGCTGTCAATCTCACCCCTGGCCTTGGCACTCCAAGCCTAGGCTCATCCCTAGTGAGCTGGGCAATATCCCCTTCCCCCTTCGAACCTAGTTTGAAGCCCTCTCAATGAGCCCCACCAGCTCGTGGCCAAGAATTCTTTTCCCCCTTTGAGATAGCTGAGTTCTACCTGTCACCAGCAGGCCCAGTGCTGTGTACACCTCCCCATGATCAAAGAAGCCAAAATTTGACTGATGGCACCAGTCTCTGAGCCACCTGTTAACCAGGTGAGTTTTCCTGCCCCTTTCAGTGCTGTTCCCTGCCACTGATGGGATGGAGGAAAACACCACCTGCGCCCCTGATCCCTCAACCAGTCGCCCTAGTGCCCTGAAGTCCCTTTTGATGGCCTTGGGACTTCTTTTTGCTATCTCGAAAGAAGATCTCACGTTTCCCTTTTTTTAGGATCTTGGACTAGTTCCAGCTGCCTCCACAAAGGTCACTTTTGCCATTTCTGATGCATGAGGCAGAGCTGGACAGAGTGACCGTGAAAATCTGATGTTAGTAATTAAGTTGTTCCATTGTATTGCCCTTTTATTTCTCTTTCTTTGCGGATGATACTGTCCGATTTTCCTCCCTGAAACTGCTGATGGCCACTATTTGACTACATCTTCAGAAAGTATAAATTGACACAGAACTGCTTTTGTTGCTTTATTAGCAATCTGCAATATTAATATTTTTAGAAAAGAACGTGCATTTAGAAGATAATCTTATGCTGCTTCAGCTGAAGTTTTGTTTGGTTGATTAGATGAAGATCATACAGCCTAGTTATAAAGTAGTTATAGTTTGTCAGTGAATGTATGTGTAAAGTTCAGAGAATAAACAGGTAAAAGTAAAACATCTCCTCCTTGCTGTGTCTGTGTATTTCAGTTCAGGAGTAATCACACTATTTTTTCACTAAGTGAAGCGCAAATTGTTAACTTGTGTACGAGTAAAGCTGGTTTGCAGATTTTTTGTGTGTTCCTGCTTTTCTAAAGTAGAAAAGAGTTGTTGTTAAATTGTATATGATCTGTTTCTTACCTTAACTGCAGTGTTTTGATACTATGGTTAAGGAGAACTTTCAGGAGTAAGGTACCGGCTTGTATTCTAGGTAAGGAAGGAAGAGATGTTCTCCAGCTGTGGGTGGTATGCTATTAAGAATACAAATTTATTTCTAATTGCATAGCTAGTGACTCTTTTTATGGTTCTCAAGTGCTTTAAGCTCTTTCAGTTGCAACGAAATGGGTATGAAAAAGCAATAATTGTAAATGATAAAGGCCTCCAGTAATAAGCATTCAGCTTATCATTCTACCTAAGGGATGTTTGAAGATGGTGGGCGCAGTTAGGCTCAGCACTTGCTTAAAGATAAAGCACAAAGCACTGGAGTGACTTTAAAAATCTAAGGGGAAATAAACTGTTCACTATGAAAGAAAGTGACATGTAGGTTTTGCTTTTGGGATTGTTCAGAAACAGTCTCAGCCCTTATCTCTGGGGATGGCTGCAGGAAGTTAAAACGAGCTTGCGATGATGCAGGGATCAGCTTGGTGACCTTTTCTAGGTTTCTTTGAATCCGAGACTTCAGGGCTGCTCTGGGCTCTGCCAGCATGATTCCCTGAGTTCATGCTTGAATTATGTTTAGTTGGATGTCATTTGTGTATGGCAGAAGCATATTTTGGAATTGTTTTTTTACCCAAGCATTGCATTTGCTATTCTGCAGTTTTTCTGTCTTTTGTGGTTTACTGAACTGTTTTCTCTTGCCTGAATATGAAGATGCAGCATCAACTATCAGCTGTCTGCTAAGTGATGAACTCATGTAGCAATTCCTCTTCCCAGATGCTGGGCTTGTAGGGAATTATGCTTTGAGAAGAGAATTTAAGGGTGAGGCAACGTGCCCCTATACGTACACTGGATGCCTAAGAAGTTTTCCACTTGCTTTACTGGCTTTTGTAGATTCAGGAATGTTTTATGTATTTATATATACTCTTGGTTTGTCAGAAATAAGCATATTTCTTTAGGTTCCTTCATGATTGTGTGGAAGAGTTTTATTTCAAGGATTTAGCAATGTGTCTCTGTTATTCACTGTTTTCTTGGTTGTAATAAACCTCTACAGCATTTAAGAACCCAGAATCCTTCTTCCCTTAGTAGTGAGACTCCTCAAACAGTATCCTCTTTAAGCTGAATGTTTAAACTTATAGTAAACTCTTCCTATTACCAATGAAACAATTATGTCTGCTTAAAAGCACTTTCTTTTTCTTCTATATATATCATTTTTGCAAAATGATTCATAAGAAACCATGCAGAACATAGATGTATCCAGATTGAAAATGTTACATGCCCTCCCACATATAACAATGAAATGTGTGTTTTGCTACTAAGATTGCAAATACTTCATTGATGTCTGCATATAATTAAACGTGTTAGATTTTCTTTCCGGCTGTACTTACTGGCAAATGTTTCCTGAATGCCAACAGCTGTTATTAGGAAAATACTCCCTGATCAACCTGCTGCTTCTGCATAGGTTGCTTTATATAAAGCTTAAGAATACATTGGCTTTTCTTGCCTGAGTAACACTAGAAGTGTTCCATGGGTTAAAAGTTCTTTTTTTTAAAAAATAGTTGCATGTAACAAAGTTGTTTTTCTAACAGGATAAATTGATTTGAAAATGAGGCTTAAAACATGAAAACTTAGTCCCATTTTTCATGTGCGTTATTAGGTAGGATATAAAGCATTCATTCTAAACAGAGCTTGCACTAATTACCATAAAGCTACAGCATCTGATGAACTTAGAAACGAGTGATTCTCTCACCAATGTCGGTTGTATTTCATGTGCTCTCTGCCTTACTAATTCCATTTCTCTGTACCGACTGAGATTTTGGCCTGTAAGAAAAACTTTAATAGCCCCCAGCCTCCCATCTGTTAGTTTTGCTTGTAGAAACTGTGTCACAGGCTACAGAAGGTGACCCCAATGTGCATGCAGTCCCCAGCAGGCTGTGTGTAATAAGATGGTCCGACTCAAGAGTCCTGTGCGTTTTGTGTTCCGCATTTGTCTTCCCTCCCATGGCATGGAGTGTTATAAACAACCAGTGCTTCCCTTTTCTCCTCTTCCTCCCCCCAGGGTTTTCCTTCTCTTCTTTGGCAGATGGTGAAGACTATTGCTGGTACCTCTGTTTTTCAGTGTTACCACTAGAAGCAGGTCATTTGTGTCCATGGTCAGGGACTGCTGGTTGAAGCCCCTTGTCTAGCGTACTTGTGACTGGCTGGCATGTGCTAAAAGGATGTAAATGGAGGAAGATAATTGTCTGTCTCAAGGAAGGAAGCAACAGGATCTAGTGAATAGATATAAACATTTACCAGTATTTCCTTTCTGTGGTGGCTTCACACTTTGGTTGCGTGAAGCTTTCCGTTCTGTTTGAGACTTTGAAATCTTTTGTTTTATCCAAAAGACTTTTCAATTCTTTTTAAGGAAAAATCTAGGGAGGGTGAATGATTGGATCAATCTAACCTACCTTTTCTGCTTTGCTTTTTCAGGATTGCACAGTGTATGAAACAGAGAATAAAATTCTTCATGTGGTGAGTAGTGTTTGAATTTCTATTAATAAAGATATTTGTATAGACTACATAAAGTTATAGAGCTATGTGTTTTGTGCTTTTTCTATGCAGTGCCAGTGTAGTAATGAACTAGTCTGGGTATGACTGAGTGAATGTATGGAACTACTTATGAATAGATAATGGAATTATGGAAGTCGAACTTGGTGTATGAGAAACCAGGAACTTTGCAAGGTTTTGTGTTTGTCTGGCTCAGGCCCATTTGTTATTTGTAAACAGTGGCCGGAAGGATGATTTTGTAAAAGGGTATTTTTTTCGAGAGCGAGCTGGTTGTTAGGCTGCTATGAAATCATACATTTATGTTAGTGATGTAGTTTCATTTGTGCAATTTTATTCCTCATAGGAGCAAGGAGCTAGCCTGGTGATAGGAAAATTAATGCAATTCTTTCCTTTTGAATTCTCAGGATAAATACTACAGTCTGTCCCCAGAATCTGTAGGACTATTGAGAATCAATAAAGCAGATGGAAGTCGTCAGGGCATCAGAACACAGGATGAATTTGAAAGGCTGCCACTTTGGTGGATGGAGAGTCAAAAGCTTGAGTAAACTTTGTGTGAAAACTGAAAACCTAAGTTTTAGATAATAAATCGTGTTTGATGTTGTGGCTGTAGTTTAGTGAGTATTACGTTAACCCAGAGCTTGTTTATAAAGTTAGGTATGAAGATAGTCTTCCTAAGAGTGAGTAATGAATTGGTTTAATTTATTTGTTGTATTTCACATTTAGGTAGGTTTTGATATCTTACTACCGGACCTTAAGCAAGTAAATTTTGCATTTCCTTATTTTGAAAGGCGTGCTTCCGAGTAAATTTTTTTTTTTGGTGCTCCCGTATCAAATGCTTGGCAAGCTGAATTCTATAAGCTTGATTTCACAATGATGTGGAATAAAATGTCTCTGTGTATCTTTACATTTCACTGACATTTTTCCCCTGTGGGACACAAAGAATTAGCAATTTTAGTGAGGCTGACATCACCATCTTTGCAAAGCTGATCTTTTCAAGTTTTTAAGTAATGAAGTTTTTAATTGCATAATCTTGGCAAAAGTAAAAGTGCGAGAAGTTTGAAATCATTATATATAGCCTGGTTTTCAATACATGCTAGTTTTCTACTGTAAGAGCCAAGAGTTCTAACATCTGCTATACAGTATATGTCTTTTACAAATTAACAAAAAGAATTGTAAAGGGAGCTGGCAGTGTTTAGAGCTGATGAAACATCAGTGAATATAGTCTTCAGCAGAAAATTTTGAGGAAACAGAGAGATTCATTTAAGATATGCGAGTGCACAAATTTGAGACAGGCTTCAGAAGTTATGTTGTCTTACATCATTCAGACTCACATAGGCTTATTTCTTTAATTCACAGTAACTTCATTGTGGTGACAGGTGGACATATGTATTATTGTGGAGAGCTTAATTAGCTTCTATGATTAGTGTTCAAGCTTGTAAGGAAACATGAACAGAGTGTTGAATGATTTACTGAAGCCTAGGACTGAAAGTGACTAGATGTATTACATGTAACTTGGATCATTTCTATGTTGCATTTCGGCTGATGAATGGGATTTCATGGGGCAAAAGCTGACCAAAAACAATCAAGGAAACAGATAAATCTATGACTGAATAATTAAAATGTGGAGTTTGAAATCATGTTTTGAATTTGAAATGGAGTATTTTACAAGTGCAGCTGAAAAGGTTGATGATAGACTTGGAACTGAAAGCAGTCACACTTCCCTCTGACCCCTCTCCTTGGAAGACAGAAGAAGGAGTTGTGGCTTTAGCCCACTAGAGAGGAGGAGCAATCTGACAGATATATTAAAAAACGAGGGGAAAAGCCTGCCTGATGTCAAGATCTTGAGAGAGTGCATGGTATTTTTATGCCAGTGTCAAAGAAGAAGGGATGTTAGATACCTTATGAGATAACAATATTTGAATTCACAACTGCAAACTAGATTAAAGATGTCCTAGAGGGGGATTAAGAAATTAAATCTCCTGTTATAGACTCTGTATCCCATAAATTTAGAGGTGAATATTAAAGAGAAGGTTCTCTGATATAAAAAGAATAGTAGTAGATTTTGGTAAAGGCACAGGAAGTATCTTGAATGAGAAATGCTGGGACAACTAGGAAAGATTGGGAGGAGACAACATCTACACAGGTATTATAAAGAGAGAAAGTAAATTCTCTCTTCTTAAATTCAAAGACCAAGATATTGCAGCTCTGTTTCCTGAGTACATTTCACGTCTGCAAACCATGCAGACTCCGGGAGGTTAACAAAAGTAGTGTCTGGCCAGCATCACATCCAGCTGCCTTTGAATGATCAGATACCAACATACAGCTGTGCTGCTGGGATGACTTAGAGAGGAAATTGAATTCAAAGACGCGGGCTCACCCTGTATGATTTCACGTACCACATTCTCTTCATGACACAAGGAAACAAGGTTCCTCACAAAACTGAAAGGAAATGATTTACAACTAATAGGCAATTCATGCAATTAGCCAAAGGAAATCCTTGTTGCAAGCTATTGTTCCTACTAAGAACTGGAACAATCCTCAGCAAGTTTTCTGATGTCACAAACCTGGGAGGAGTGGTGCATACACAATCAGGCTGTGCTGCCATTCAGCGAGACCTGGACAGGCTGGATGGAGAGTTGGGTGCAGAGGAACCTGATGAGGTTCAACAAGGGCAAGTGCAGGGTCCTGCATCTGGGGAGAAACAATCCCATGCACCAGTACAGGTTTGGGGCAGACCTGCTGGAGAGCAGCTCTGCGGAGAGGGACCTGGGTGTCCTGGTGGATGACAAGTTGACCATGAGCCAGCAGTGTGCCCTGGTTGCCAAGAAGGCCAATGGGATCCTGGGGTGCATGAAGAAGAGTGTGGTCAGCAGGTCGAGGGAGGTTCTCCTCCCCCTCTACTCTGCCCTGCTGAGGCCCCATCTGGAGTGCTGTGTCCAGTTCTGGGCTCCCCAGTTCAAGAAAGATGAGAAGCTACTGGAGAGAGTCCAGCGGAGGGCTACGAGGATGATGAGGGGACTGAAGCATCTCTCCTACGAGGAGAGGCTGAGGGAGCTGGGCTTGTTAAGCCTGAAGAAGAGAAGACTGAGAGAGGACCTTAGAAATGCTTATAAATATCTGAAGGGTGGGTGTCAGGAGGATGGGGCCAGACTCTTTGCAGTGGTGCCCAGTGACAGACAAGGGGCAATGGGCACAAATTCAAGCACAGGAAGTTCCGTCTGAACATGAGGAAGAACTTCTTCCCTCTGAGGGTGACGGAGCACTGGAACAGACTGAACTAAAATTTTACGAGATCCTTCTTGCATAAGTAAAGTAGAACTGTGTCTGCAGAAATGAAAATAAATTCAATGGCAGTTATGTACTCTTATTCTTCAGTACACCAAGCAAGTTACCACCTTAGGAGCAGATCATTGGATTAAAGTAGTTGATTTTTGTCTGGATTACCTATGGATGGTCCGGTGGTTTACTTCAGGTTGGAGCTGTGTTCTGGGTTGAACATCTCCATTGTTCACCTGGCTCCAAGTGTTATTTTGGGTTCGTATGCTGTGGTGCAGGGGCTAGAGCTCTGTAACCACATATCTCCTGTGGGGATGCTACCCTGTCCCCTGGATCAAGCCTACTTTGTGCCAGTTTGGGGGCAAGAAAGTCTGTGAGCACAGGCGGGGGATGTTAGACTGCTCTGCTGCTACTGAAGTGCGTACATGGATACCTCCAAAGTTAACGTGTCACTGAGTCTTCACCCTTTCCTCTGAAGCATGGTGGAGTAGGCAATAGCCCTCACCAAAGGGAAGATCCTCAATTAAATGACTGATTGGTTTGCTTTAATTAGGTAGGGCCAAAAAAATAGCATACTTAGATTCTAATGGCAGTAATTTCTTTTGAAAAGCATATGAATGCCCTATTTCTTTCAGAGATGGCAATGTGGGTGTTCATGTGGAGAGACTGCTGAATCACCTTGTCCATAGATAGTATGTGTTAGCGTCAATAAACTTATTCAGATGTTACCTTTTTAGATGTCACTGACAAGTTTAAAAAATGGTATTCTGTGGAGAAAGAACTGTATAGCTTCAGTTTATATTCAAGAAGAAAATATTTTTGTTTGCTCCAAGCAGTTCAAGTTTCAAATGCTATATAAAAGCATTTTGATTGTCTCTCATAATATTAGGTTAAGTAGTAAACTAGTCTGTGTTATTCAACTAAATACTTAAAATTATCTGAAGGAAAAAGGTCTTATGGAAAACTGAAGTTTTCAGAAGAAATTACCTACTTCAACTTGTTTATTTCTTCTAAATGGAATTACAAAATGTGGTTGGGAAAAAATGTCTCTTCAATAATTTCCAGCTCTAGAATTGCAGCTGTGCTAAAGTAGTTATTTTAAAGACAACTATATTCCTTATAGGTTATTTTGCTGTGAATTCATTCATAGAAACACTTGGTTTCTGTGGAATAAGAAGCATAAAACCACACAGGAATAATGTGTTGGTTTTTGCTCATTAAAATGTTGATGTTTCTGAAATATTCAAGAATGCAGAGAAATGCTTCATATTTCTGGCACTTAATTTCTCAGTGTGTTTTTCCAAGTTACCTTTTGCTCAATAAACGATGTAATAAATAAATAAATAATCATGACGGTAATAATTTATTAATATAAACAGAAAGTAAATATCACCAGAAAATAATACCAGCAGAAATAGACGGCAATAGAAAATATTAACTTAAGAACAACAGTTTTTGAAATACAGTGGGCCTAAATATGAAAGGATAAGCCGTAGGTGTGGTGTTTGTTTCAAAATTTGAAATTAGTATTTGTTAGTTTATATTTAGAATCTTTATATTGATTTAACTTGAGGTGGTAAACTGTATGGAAAACTGCTCAGCTTAAAAGGTTGTCAGTTCTGCTTATCTGGGTTGTTAAAAGTTAATTGTTGCTGAAGTCTGAATGGAGCTTTAAAATCTTTGAAGAG